AGTTATAGCCGACCGTTGGCCATTCCTCGGCCACCTGAAAGCGATCAGTTGCCGCGAAGAAGGGTCTGGCTAGGATATCATATTACTAAGAGCTCGAGGGTAGCGACTGGCCGAGCTTTGGGCAGATCATGGATTTTACACGATGGTCGCGAAAACCTCGCTCTCAGACTTCGCTGCATTTTAAGTAAAATATGCACTGAAGGTAAAAAATATGTCGCAGAACTGGTATTGCTTGCGATTTTTTAGCATGGTCTGCAACTACGTAGCTCTAAGGCTGAGTTAAGCTTTTCATTTTTATACAGAGCGTATGCTAGCCTGCAAGGCTTGTTTGAGAGTTGAATTTGATTTATTTGAGGCCGACGGCTGCGCTTCCCGGACCTGGCGGACCAGCCGACCAAGGAGTCATTAGTGACGTTATAACGGTCCGAATGCAACCTTTGATTTTACGTAGGCTAGCACGTTTCGTTTTGCGTGAATGCGTGTTGTTGCAAAATGGCACGATTCTTTAATTTTGTAATGTTCACACCGTTTCAGCATGTCTTATTTTTCGATTTCGAGTGAAGGTTTTGCACTAGCCTATTCTCATTCTGTTGCAGTGAGTTTCCTAATTTCCTTATTTGTTGCTCGATTCTTGTACCTATTCTCCAACTCGAAGGGACAAGTACAGCTGACTGAGCTGAGACCATGCTTCTGGCTAGGCCATGAATAATGATAATCTGTGCTCTGTGGAAGCCTGTAAATCATATCAATCGAACTCTGAGATATTTTTATTCTATACACTGTTATTTAGTGAAAGGAGGGCAATTCAGGAAGAGACAAAGAGTAGTGTAGCCTACCTACAACCTACTAGTATATGAACAATACAAAAGTAGGTAAACACAATTTTTTTCTTAGACTTAAACTAAATAAAAATATTTTCCTTTTAATTATAGAATAAGGTTAGAGATTTTTCATAATATATGCCTATGCTATGCTCCAAATTCCAAAATGACAATCTTTGATACCTACATTTAGAATCTTGTTGCCTAATTATACACTTTTGATTCTTACTTCTTTCCTATGACTGAATATATCCTACCTTCCTTTAATCCTTCCTATCTGCAACTAGGGCTTTCCTGCCATTTTTTAAGCCTAAAGATGCCTGCTAGAAGGCTAGAAGCTAGATGAATTACCTCCTATCTGATTGTTAGCAATATACTAGTAGTCTAGTCACTCTAGTGCATGATTTATTGTTGAATGATGATTAGGCCACTAAGGCCAGACATTCCAAACTTTGGATAAATAGCAAATACCGTCAAACGGGGTAAAATCCGCGCGCCTTAAATATATGTAAAAAACGTGTTGGCAACCCTATGTGGGGATGCCAGTTGTTTTAATTTCTTAAAAAGGGATGGGTGTTGGGGTGTGGCAATAGCTAAGTGACAGTCCTCCAACATTTTGTGGAAAGGTTGTAGCAGCTAAACTAATTGAAATATTGCAAAACTAAAAATACAGTGGTGTAAAGTTCAACATTTTTACTATCTATGCAGCATAAAGCAAATTTAGAAATCATACATTTATTACCTCTAATTTAAAGAATCCCTGAAAAAAAAGTGTGAAAAGTGAGATTTCAGAAAAGTACCCCTGCTAAGGTCTGAAGCAGAAAAATATTTGTCGTATTGAAAAATTTTACTTACATAAAAGTTACACACTAGGACTAGTGTTGGCTTAAAAACATGATTGACAGAATTTGCATATCTCATTCCAAGAAAAAATGGTGGCACCGTGGCCATTTCCACAAGATGGGGTAATAAGGGACACCCCCCAGGGAAAAAGGGACCCCCCTAAAATTGCATTTACAGGAGAACCTTGGTTAGCAAAGGCTCCAGTTAATGAAAAAAAATCAATTAACAACAAAGAATTCTTATTACTTTACCTCGGTCAGTGAAAAAATGTCAATAAAAAATTACTGCATCCGTCATCACAAAATTGTGCATAGAATTTCACAGATAGAATTGAGCACTGTGGAACAAAGAATGAAAAGTAATTAACCTAAAACATGATTTATTTTTCCAAAAAATATGATGGTTGTCACTAAAATACTCCTTCCTGTTTCAGGTATGTTTTTTACAAACTTTTTTTTTATAGTGAAATCACTTGACTCTATTAAAATTGTGCGAAATTACAAACCATCCTGTAAGCATACAGATACAGAAGAAATGCTACATGGCTGCTGATATGAAGCTTGCAGTGGACAAGGTCGTTGGCAATGCTCAATGGCATGTCCATGGATACAATAATATCAAATTAATAATACGGTAATTTATGGATAAGGTAATATATCAATGAAGAAAAACCAAGTAAAAATCACAGAAAATTTCATTTATTCTACATTTACATCATCTACAAAGGAAGAGGAGGACTTCAGAAGTTCAGAGTACTGTTGGTAATAGATGAGTACACTCTGCATGCTTCAAATGTTTAAAATTGAGTTTTATTTCAAGTGTCCCTTCTTACCCCATTTCCAGATTAAATCAGGAGCCTTTTATATAGCATCTAGCACCTTACAAATAGCACATGGAATTTTTTGGAGGTGCCAAACTATAGCCCTTGCAAAGACCTTTAAAATGAGCCCAAACTTGTTTATGAAATGTTTCATGGTAAGAAGTTATTAACAAAAAACACTCAAAACCATCCCTTTTTAACACGTTTGGCAGTAGGTATTATAAGAGATGCAAATTTTCAGTAATAAGTAGGAAAATATTATACTAGGGTAATTAATGTAGCTGGAAATCCTGATTGAGTCGTGTCTTCATGGGTTTGTCAGCCTTGTTTCCATTTCTTTGAGCTGTGGCTTCATGGGTTTGCCAGCCATGATTTCATTTCTTTGGGCCGTGAATTCCAAATCTTGGTCATGAAAAGCCATGACTCCATGTAAATTAGTTATTTACAAAGTCCCATGCAAAAAAACAGTCACTTGACACTAGCAGTTGTCTTCACTTAAGCAGCAACTGAACAAGTGATAATGCAGTATGACCACTCTGCATGTTATTACGTTCTGCAATCTGCATGTTTTTTGGCGGGAGGTGGGAGCATTGAAGTACATTATATATACCTACTGCGGATTGTGGAAGTTGAAAATTTTCTGAAACAACATGTTTGCAAAGTGCAAACTGCAATTTCTTCAATCAGAGAAAAATTTATGACATTAGAGCCATGAGATTTCATACCTACTGAAATTATATGATATTAGAGCTGTGATATTTCAGAAAAAAATAGGACTTTTCCAGCCCTGTATCACACCATGATGGCAAGATCTAGCCTAAGGTCACTAAGGTGGAATTCAGAAGAAGATATAAGAACAGAACAGGTTTATATAGGTATATATACACTGTAATACACATACATATTACATGTGTCAGATTAGTTCAACAACTTCAAAACCAAATTAAATGAAGACTTTCCCTGTATAAGTCAGGACTGTCAAGTCTGAATTAGAATTTTCCTACTTATTATGGAAATCTCTCATCCCTAACATATCAAATTTTCAAAGCATATGGAATAATGCATTCGTGTCATCTACTTTTTTAACAATTAGGTACAAGGTAATTCATCAAGTTGGAATGTTGTAGTTACTAAAAATGGCAGGAAGGCTCTATTTGCGGCTTGAAAGCTAGATTCATTCTATGCCTAAGTCAGGTTTTATTTCAGAACTGAACAAATTACCTGGATGACATTCTGGAAAATTGGACTAATGCAACCCAGCCCATGAATGAGACCAAAATGCTCATACTTGCTGTCAATTTGACTTATTTTTTACCTTTGCCCAATTTCTTCCATAAAAAAATCAAAGATGCTAAAATAAAACTTCTGTATCTCTTAATTAAAGAATTTAGGTTGAATAAAGAATCTCATAATTCTCTGCCCCAGACTGTAACATATAGACATAAGGTAGAGATATTAGTGCCTCTAAGTTGTCCATCAAGCCACCTTGACCTTAAACTGGCATCCATGTCTGTTCACAAATGATTGATAGATTGATCAACATCTAATTGATTGGTATTTGCCAGTTTTGCCACCCATTTTGATTTTTAACCATCACCTGCAGTGATCATAATGCACATATGTCTGTGTTGATCATTCACAATTGGCCACATCAATCGTAAATTGCTGTCTGCGAGATCAGACGAGAGTGTATCTGAGACTGCTTTCCATCACAATTGTACCTTGGCGTCTTCGGAGCAATGAATTTTGTGTCTCTAGGACACAAAATTCATTGCTATAATGACATGCTGTCATTATGGCAGTAGCATCACAAAAATGTAATACGGTATTCTAGCTCATTTGGCTTTATTTTTAATTCTTGAATCATTTCATATTATGAGAAACAGAATTGAGAATTGGTTTCTTGAAGTGCATTTTACCTAATCCAAGATGCCTATTAACAAGAATATATTTTTTTTCATTCCTGAAGTTTTAGGCATCTATCTTGTTTGGGGATATATACCTGTATAATGTTTGAAAAGTTTGTGAATTTTGCAAGTTTTAATTTTGTTGAAAATATTATCTTCACTGCCTTTGATAGTTTGATTTATATATGGTATCTCTGTTATTGTGAATTTTATGTCTGGGCTTAATGCCTCTGCCTCATTGATGATATTTATTTCTTTAAATTAAGATTTTGTTGTAGTCAGTTGCATTAATTTTGTAGCTTTTGCACCTTAACATTCCAATTCACTTTCACAAATTTACATTCAAATCAAAGTTCCTTTCCTCAGACTGCATTACAATGTCAGGTTTTGAATCTTAACAATTACTAATCCTAAATTATTATATTTCTATCATTTTGTAATTTTTTGTTGTATATTTTTGTAAGACTGAACTTATTCCATGTTTTAATTTATCTTACTTATTACATGCTCTAATTTATCTTGCTTATTCCATTCTTTAATTTATCTTGCTTGTAGCAATTGATATAATTCTTTCTTTTATCTCAGTATTTTCAGGAGCTCTGTAAAGTGTTCATAGGCTCTGTGATTGATGGTATTGAAAGACCAAAGTTTTAGATTAACTTTGCACATTAAAATTTTGACACTTGTAAGCTATAGTGTCTTGTCTGTGTTTCAATGAATTGAAACAAAGCTCTGTGTAAAGACGTTTTAATTTTTGACTTGTTTGTTGATACTAGTTATTGGTTTTATGTTACTAGTGCCCAAGTCTTCAACTATTTTGTCATCTTCATAATGGCTCAAGGACGAGGATGTAGTTTGCTGCAGTTGCTGCAGTGTAAATGCAAGTGCGAGTGTCACCAAGCAATCATCAATGGCGTTGAGAACAGCAGCAACAATGGCTGCTCTGATGTGCAATGCCGGTGTGGAAAGATTACCACAAAATCATCGCAGCAGAACATGCGTGGCAACATCACTAGTTTAGGCAGGGTAGACCACAATACTTCCTTCAGGCCCATCATACCCAGGGATGTGGGTTGTAGACAATTCCAAAACTCACAAGAAGTACTTAGTGATTCCTTCAATATTTTAACCCTGCAGAATTTGAGGACTGAGACACTCGATGCTCTCAATTCTCAGCCCAATTTCCGGCAAGTGTCCGATGCTTCTGCAATGCACAGACCTGCTACCCCTACAGGAACCCCAGACACGTTTATGACCCCGCAAGATTTTCTCAATTCTTCTAACAAAAAATCCTCGGCATCACCGTCGTCTCAAAGTGTAAGAAAAAGCAATAATTCTACTGGTGCTTCCTTACCTAGCCTGCCAGACACTCGATCTTCTGTTTCTAGGTCCACTCCTCTCACCGTTCAAGACCTCTCAACAAGACTAATCACTCCAGACGAATTCCTAAAGAGCTCTCAAATAACTGAAATGCAAAACCGGCGCAATTCTCCATCAGTTGGTGTCAGTGCAGGCTCCGTAATGGACCAATCTCGTGTATATAATAACATTTCATCTGCCCCTAAGAACAAGTCTAACTACCCCGACTCCTGTACAAAGTTACCTCATACTACCATTCCTGTATCTTCTGCATCTTCTTCCGTCAAGCCTGCTAATTCAAATCCTGGAAGTACAAATCCCGCACCGGAATCTCAGCTGGCCACTGAACCAGCAAACCCACTAAGCGAGTTCTGCAATAAAATCGGCGTGACCGCGGACCACAACCCTCTGCTGCCCACAATACCTGGTGGTGAAAGCATCAAGCAGAGGCTCATCACTCCCGACCCCAACGTGCTCGAGAGCTTGCGGCGCAACATGAATGGCGAGGCCGAGAAATCCAGTGAAGGCGAAGCCACTAAAGCTGTCAACCAACCTGTGTTATCATTAGAAGATATGCCTTATAAAAACGGGGACGGTGAGAAGCCGTACATCGCTGTCTTTTGGGACATCGAGAACTGTCACGTAAGTAAATAATTGGCTAGTCGTTGATGTAGGTCTCTTCATACGTAATTACATGTGATGTTTGCTGCGTAAACTTGATGTTACACATAGTGACGAACAAGACTTTTTTTCGTTAACCCTCCTTATTGAGTCCTTTGAGTAAATCAGTTTGTACCACGTATACCTGCATAATTTACATAAGATATTGAATAAAATCTATAATTAAATTAGGATGTAACATAGTTGATGTTGACTGTTGTTGAAGGTACCGCGGCGGAAAGACGCCAGCAGCATCGTGCGTCTGGTGAGGGATAAGTTCTACGGGCAGCACGTAGAGTACGAGTTCTACGTGGTCATGGACGTGCTTAAAGAGAAGGAGGAACTCTCCAGGGAGCTTCTCAGAGCTCAGGTAAATATTACATTACTTTATACTCTACCTCTGCATGATATTTGAAATGAGGTAATGCTTTATATGCTATAATCTTACGTCTGAATAATATTTGAAATATATATATTTAAATCATTACTTTGCTTTTATTTCCTTGCTTTTAAATTTATATATGAGAAAATACGTATGCCCAATCATTAACTCAGTTAAATCTTTGTTTATATATCGCATACTATCATCTATGGTAGCGTATGGCTGTTCACTTACGACTGCATATGGCCTCTGGACTATGAGTTAAATTTCCATTATTCTTACATCAATTATTATGTATCGGCTCCATGCATGAGAACTCGGCGCAGGTATCACCTTACCGGTGTCTTGCAACCATTCTAGTTTGCTACCAAAAAATTTCTTCAATTTCCTTCTTCCAAACTCTTTTCATTTCACATCAAACGCATTTATTCACTTGAGTATACAAGTTTCATTTAAAGTCCCTCGCATTTCGGTAAGCTCATTTATTCGCAATGCAAGGGTTTATTATTATTTTTTTCTTTAAATTTAATTCTAATTGGCACTTTGGTCCTATACGTTTGCCTGCAGGTGACAATCGTTCACGTGTCCAAAGGCGAGAAGAACGCGGCAGACGAGAAGCTCGTGTATCTCATGAGGAGATACTCTACGTATCATCAATACGGCAACACGTGTGTCCTTATCTCCGGGGATACGAACTTCACGCCCGTGCTGCACGACATGAGACATAAGTTGGTATCTGCACGACATGAGACATGAGTTGGTATCTGCACGACATGAGACATGAGTTGGTGTCTGTNGAAAGGCAATTTCAATGCACTTGACTACCTGTCTCTTATACACATCTAGATGTGTATAAGAGACAGACATGAGACATAAGTTGGTGTCTGCACGACATGAGACATAAGTTGGTGTCTGTCTTATAGAGACTCACCAACAAAATCTCCATCAGCCAAAACAAGCACTGACGATTTAACAGACTAACAAATTAGAGGCGAGAAATGGGCCACTGCGTGTACTTGTTCAAGTTTTGATGGTGTTGCGTCTGATAAATATTTGTTTTTGAGCTTCCCATACTAACTAGGGACGATTGAATTCATTGATTACTTCAAATCTTACTCGAGATCCATGGTTACTCGGTTCCGTGTTACCTTAGTAATCGAAATCACTCGAAATTGGATCGTCTATCAATACAGCGTTACTACACTATAGGGAATTTAACCCTTTCATTAACTGATACATTACATGTCGGCGACAATATTTGAATTCTGAATTCGGTTTATTATAGTTACCGTCAACAGACAGCGTGTTACAGCATAGGGCATATTAATTTAAAGTTTTTACTGGACTCAACTAAGTCAGCTTTGTCTCTTACATAGATACATTAATTTGAATTATGAATTACCGAAGTTTAGCGGTAATCCAGAAGTCGTCGTTAATCCGAAGCTCAGTTTCACGAGCACTGATTTTTGAAACCATTGATTTCAGCTTCACTTTTCTCGATAGCGCAAAATATTTCGTAAAACCTGCAAAACCAACATCAGAATCTAAAAAAAAGTTCATAAATCATCTTGAAAACTCATCAGAGTAACTCCAACTATTAGAGGTTGAGTAGAGCATGAAATTTTGCTGGTAAAATTCACGTTGACTTTTGAGTAACGATTTTGACGCAATTTTTCATGGACTTCCAATTATCTAGTTTTAATGTAATCGAATTCCACGGTTCTACTATATTCGTCCATCATTACGACCTACGCTGCAATGGGTTCTATATTCGGCATCAATAAATGATAATATTATATCTAATCCTAATTTTATCGTATATCATTGCGGCTGTCATGCACGTTTAACTAAATCATTATCATCACTGTTGCAGACACCACATCAACATCAAGGTTATGCTCACTATTCATCACTGTTGCAGACACCACATCAACATCATCATTAATCTATAGGTCTATCGAATTATCCCCCATTAATCTATAGGTCTATCGAATTATCCCCCACTAATCTATAGGTCTAACCGTATTATCCCCCATTAATCTATAGGTCTATCGTATTATCCCCCACTAATCTATGGGTCTATCGCATTACTTCCCATTAATCTATAGCTCTATGGAATTATCCCCCACTAATCAATAGGCCTATGGAATCACCCCCATTAAACAAAAGGTCTCTCGTACTCAGATGGTAGAGTACCACCCTGAAGCGAAGTTCCTGGCCATCCACGGGCTGCCGCACACCATGGACTACAGGCTCGTGAAGAACAGACTGCACATGTTGTGTGAGAACCTGGGAGGCAAGGTGTTCCAGGTGTACGGCCACCACGCCTACATCGACATGAGGGACCCCAGCTCTGCCATCAGGTTAGTGGCGGCCACCATCAGGTTAATGGCGGCCACCATCAGGTTAATGGCGGCCACCATCATGTTAGTGGCGGCCACCATCGCACAATGAATGGCCGATATTGTGGCTTGAATGACCATTGCCCATATGTGTCTGGTAGACATTTTGACTTTCCTGTCCATTTCCTCTGTTCCATCTTCAGGTTAATGGTTGCACGCATTAAATTTTGTCCATTGGACATGCTCGACTGACAATTTCTTAGATGCGTCCGTTGGACATCGTGGGACCACTGTCCATTTTCTGGTGACAGTCCATTTCATAGATGTGCTCTGTGGACATTTTGGCTCGAATATCCAATATCTAGATAACTTTGACTGCCATCCTGTGGCAATGCATCGAACCTCAGCTGCGTCAATCAATCGACGTGTCTCGGCTCGAGTTTTGAGCTCTAATTTCCATTTCATTCACTACCAAGATGGCTGCTGACTATCCTTCTGCATCGCCAGAAGTCCTATGGGATTTCGCGTTCCTAGGGGGATTGTTCCTGAGCGCCCCACCGCTGAGCTCGCGGTGTCTGACTGCAGATCTCAGTTGTGGGGCTAAGTTATTATGTGGGTAGGATTTCTTACATTTCCCTTCTCTATCTCTCTCGTGCGGGCGGCCGACGTCCCGTGTAAGCGACCTCTTGTTCGAGTGTCTTAGTTTCTGTTGCTTTTCACCTGTCCCTCCTTGTCACCTGTCCCTCCTTGTCACTTCGTCTCTTTGAGATGCTAACGCTACTTTTTTTCGAGCCAGCTTCAGCGGGCTGGACATCTGAGACCTTCCGCCCCTTGTGGGTGATGAATAATTGAGACCTTCCGCCCCTTGTGGGTGATGAATAATTGAGACCTTCCACCTCTATGGTGATGTTCATCTTGACTTTCGGTGCGAGATAGCTAAATAGCTGAAGCGCTAGTAAACATTTGGCCACTAAACTAACTAACTAACTAACTATCCTTCTGCATTCTATCCTTCTGGCAACCTATACTTCTGCATCCTATCCTTCTATCTTTTCTAACCTTAGATTGCACCGATTGCACATCCTCCAACGTCCATTTCATTCTACCGACTGAACTAAGGTAATTTGGAGACCCGAAGGCCTTCGTACCTGTCATGAGGCAAGTTGCCGCAGTCACGCCACACGTCAATTCTATTCGATCATCTTAAGCTTTTTTTGAGATCAGAAGACCGCCTGAGACTGTGGTAGCAAATTCGAAGTACCTAATCAAATTATACATCAACATGCCACCAATGAGCTACTTCCTGTATACGTTTGTAAGATATTTCTGTATAAAAAATCGGCAACACGCGTAATCAATCACGATAATCTGAAAACATGCAATCATCCCATTGTATAATCATCATGATATTCGTACTACTTCAAATGCGGGATTTCGTATGTAACTTACCTGTTGCCTCATTATACACCTTCTAGACTCTTTTCAATTTCTGGAAAATTTGCACCAAGACATTCATTTTCTATATATATACAGAGTTCTGTGTTTTTCTGCTTGCAAATTTCATTATCTTTCTTTACTTCTTAAATTATTTAAAGTATCTCGGTAGTGGAACAGTAATGTTCCAATTTACCATTTTTGTTTCCATATTTTCTTCGTGCCTGTCTATTAGTTTGATTGCTTTATTTGCATCAGAACTTGGCATTTCACGAAGATTCTCTACATCGGCACCACCTGAAAGTTTCTAGCCAATCACAGAGAAGTCATGCTTAGCAGTTCTTATTTTGCACCAATTGTGTGGCAGGTTTCAATCCAACAGCCAATGATAGTCCTGCTCTGTACCTGGCATGGTAATCTTCTACTGCAATTGTCCGAGAAACTAACGATGTTCGACGACACTCATTTGACCGGTGACTTCGACGCGTGTCGGACGCGAGTGTCTTGTTTGGTCTGTGCCGTCGTGATTTTACGCGTAGTTTTGTGTCGTGGTTAATTAAGTGTAAAGTTACGGTCGTGATGGTGCAGCCGGCGCACATAATAAGATGTGTAGGTGAGTTATGATTGTAATGATAAATCTCATGTCATTCCGTACATTTTAGCGTAAAAACTGTGATCAGTTTTTGAAGTTGTCTAGCGTCAATGTCGCGCAAGTCGCTACTTAGCAACTACTGCATGCACTAAACTCGCGGCTTGCCATTAAAAACCATATGTATGGTACTGGCTAGAATAACGATTTGTAGGGTTTGATGGCCACATAAATAACTAAGAACCTTTTTCTATTGCTTTCGAAAGTTGTGGCTCCATTTTTTTAACAAAATAGATAGTTTCTTTCAAAAGCCGGCACATGAGTGCTATGGTGAAGTTCGTGGCATTGACGGTCCATTTTTCATTCGATAATATTCCCGATGTTGCTTCAGTTTTGCTCCTATGCCCGTACCGTAACTCTTTGCTAACGCTTCGTTTGCGTTCCGGATTTCTCATACCGATGTACATCCTCCAACTTCCATTTCATTGTAACCTACCGACTGAACTAAGGTAATTTGGATACCCGGAGGCCACATGCTCGAAAATTCTAATGGCATTTGCAAGAGCCGCTTTATTGCAAAGTCTTCTCCCCTTTTGAAGCCTGCATGTTCGGCTGAAAGATAAGCCAGCGATCCACAGTTAGGCTTAAATATCTCTTAACGATTCTTTTATTACATCAACTCTGTAGCTCAATTAGTTCTCTTTCTTTTCCAAGTTAGTTATGCTAAAATTGCAGACTACGAGAGAAATGAAGCTTTTAATAAGCGCGACCGCACACTATTTTAGTATTTCAGCGTTAACGCGACTAAGGTCTCCGGCTGACCGCCCTTCCTCACCGAACATCCCAAGCATAGTTCGCTGCACCAGCCTGGGCCGCACTGTCGAAAATAGTTACTAGTTAGTAACTCCGTCAGCCAATCACTGGCGGCTTATATAGCGGTATTATTGCAGATTAACTACATCCAAAAGAAAGGGTGTTTTTTTTTTAATTATATGTTTTTTGGGGTGTAGATTACGAATCTGAAATCCATTTTTGGCGGTCGGCATCGGAAAACCGATTTTTTTCGCGACTTACTAACATGGGGGTTACGTAACTTACGTTACCCACTCACCTTTATTTACTAACATGGGGGTTACGTAACTTACGTTACCCACTCACCTTTATATAAAGGGTCGGATTGTTCATCGAAATTTTACAGAAAGCTCTTAGGTTGGGTTAAGTCAGCCAAGTTCCTTTTTTTAGATAGCATTTTGATCTAAAAGGAACCTGGGCGAACCAACCCAACCTGCGAGTTGGCGTTAGGTTGTGATCTCTCGATGTGGCAATGTATCTCCAGATTTATGGACAAAGAAGACGAAAATGTTACCCGTTGCACTGCAACGGGTAACATTTTCGTCCGATTTTTCGCCGATTTCGCAGATTTTAGGCATTTTTAGCGCGATTTTTGGGTCGGAAAAAAATCGGTTTTCCGATGCCGACCGCCAAAAATGGATTTCAGATTCGTAATCTACACCCCAAAAAACATATAATTAAAAAAAAAACACCCTTTTTTTTGGATGTAGTTAATCTGCAATAATACCTATATAGCTAAACAACCCACCAATTACAGACGAGAAATTGGCCGCCACGTGTACTTAGGCCGCCACGTGTACTTAGGCCGCTGCGTGTACTTAGGCCGCTGCGTGTACTTAGGCCGCTGCGTGTACTTGGGCCGCTGCGTGTACTTGAGCCGCTAGGTGTATTAAGCCGCTACGCGTATTTCAGCGACATATTTGAAACTACGGCCCCAGCTTGTCATCCATTCTCGATGCGCAAATCTTATACCAATATTAGTTTATTGAAGGCGCATTATGTTAATCGAAACAAAAATTCCTTATTTAGCTTGCTCATCTAGGCTGGCTAAAGCAGACAGAATTATCTGTATGCGTCATTTTCTCTGCATACGTCAACAAATTCTATCATTTCTCGTCCATATGAAGATATTGTTGCCTACAGTAATCATTCCACATTTATGGTTGTCTTTAAAATGTTAGTCTCTTTGTCTGCCTCGACTAAGACGAGTGAAATTTGTCGTTATTTCTGATTCGTCGCGCATTTGAATCTTGCTGAATATCTGCAATGAATGACTCTAAGTTCCATGTGACGTTGGTAATGATGCTATCTAGTAATTATTAATGATGATTAGTGATGTCATCGTAGTATTTTCAGGTACCTATTCAATTATTTGTTGAAAATAATTTAACTGAAATTTCGGTAGTATGGGGAATTAGGTTATAGTATTATAACCTGAACATTATCATGAAGATTTATACGACGTATGCGTTACTACGCATACGTACTGAGATTATTTTTTTGAATCCACGAATATCCGAGATGAAGTAGGATTATCTTTCTATTACACTAATAAGATTTTCTAGGCGCGTAAATTTTCTAATTAAAAACAGTAGTCTAAATATAAAGACGAAAGTTACTGCAATTAACGCGTAATGTTCCAATTGATGCGTAATTGGAATATTGGAAAGTCTGCATTTGTTTCATTCCTTCCTGTATTGCTTCAAATTCTCCTAACTCATTTTGCCTTTAGTTTCCAGGGTTAATTTTATTGTATCCGTTTTTTTTCTGGGGTAATTTAATTGAATTTCACTATTTCCTCGCTTTTATAGGTAATTTACATGTGATGGTTTCCTGCAGCAATTTCTCTTGTATTTTTCAATTGTTTTGTGGTAATAGCCCTGCATTATGAAAGGCAATTTCAATGCACTTGACTACGTACTGTAATTTCAATGTACCTGACCAAGTTAATTTCAGTGTACGGTACCTGACTAAGGCAAATACAATGCACTTGACTAAGGTAGTAATTTCAATGCACTTGTCCAAGGTAGTAATTTCAATGCACTTGTCCAAGGTAGTAATTTCCATGCACTTGACCAAGGTAGTAATTTCAATGCACTTGTCCAAGGTAGTAATTTCCATGCACTTGACCAAGGTAGTAATTTCAATGCACTTGACGTAATATTGTATTTCAGAGCGAAGAACCACCTGGACGGTGAGGCGGTTTACTCGCACCGCATCTGCTGCACCATCACGAACGCTTGTTCCCTCAGCAACTTCCAGCTGGCCTGCGCTAACAGCGACGTAGAGCATCACTGCTCAGTCGGCGACGACCCAAGCCAACAAGATAATTTGTGTCCCCGCTTTAACGCGCCGCATTATTCATATAACAAATACCCGACGAATGGTTCCGGTAACAACGGTGCCGGACCTGGCTGTGTGTATCAGAACTTTAATAATGGAGGTAATGGAGGGGGGTATGCATGTGCAAACAATGGTGCATTTGGGTATAGTTTCGGGAATAGTGCAGGTGGTGGTGGTGGTGGTGGTGGTGGTGGTGGTGGTGGTGGAGGATGCATCAACGTGGCCGGTGGTGGTGGTGGTTGGGGCTCGTACGGTAACGGCGCCGGTAATCAGTTCAGTAACGGCGCGGGTAATCATTTCAGTAACGGCGGACAGAGAGGCGGTAATTTCGGGATGATCCGTGGTAGCAACGGAAGCGATCCAAATAAAAAACCGTTTGTAGGCTTTGTCGGGAGCTCGTCAATCCCAGTCGGCAATTCAGACCGATCCAATCCGCCCCCTTCCGAGCCGCCGGCTTTGCCATTCCAGCCGTTTGATTTGCTGGAATCTGAGGACGGTTACGGCGCGAATTTCTTCGATATGGAGCCACCGTGCGGGTCTCCGTATTCTAATTACATGAACAGCCGTAACTTCAGCGGCCCTAACTCCACCAGGAAAATGATGGTCCCGTCGCGTGGTGGTGGCGTGCCTGGTAGAGCTTCTTTCTCCTCCTCTGTCCCGAACTCGGCGCTCTATGGCGACTGCGAACACAATTTTACCGACCATTGAACTCCTGTGATTTTCTCGTTGGAATTAAAATTCACGGCTTTAATGTAGACTTGTAATCTGCAATTTCGTGACCTAATGATGACTTTATTTTCTTAGTTTGTGTTATGTTTGTGAAGAAACTTATTATAACCTGACTTGACCGTGCAACGTCTAAATTCATACATAATGTCTCATGATTGTGAGCTGTAGCCTATACTGGCTTACACTTTGTGGGACATCAATTTTGCGGTAAAGTTAAAAAACTTTGATTTTAAGTTTTAGAATAGAAACTTGCGCTTTAGGAGGAAAAAAGAACGGTCGCTATTGGTTATTCATTTATCGACATTTGAGATTGTGTAATGCATTGCAGTAGGAATTCTTACTAAAGTAAAAAGTATTAGTTGGATTATTTAATTCTTAGTAAAGACGCGCTCGCCTAAATCTTTCCTAGAATTACCACTAGGCTTTTAGGAGCAAATACGCCGGTAATGATGTCGTTGCAAGCTAATGGTGTTGCAAGCTAATGATGTTACAAGCTAATGGTGTTGCAAGCTAATGGTGTTGCAAGCTAATGGTGTTGCAAGCTAATGATGCCGTACGAAACCCGTCCATTGTGTATCATTGAATTGATAAAAGGCCTTTCATGGACGCGTAATTTATTGATGAATTTTCTCTTGAGTCCTAAATTAATATTAAATCTTAGTTACGATGTTCTTATTTTGCTCGCCGCTAATTATTGGCCATTTAATTTTAAATAATTTCTTCTATGATTTTGCTTCAATAATATTTGATATTACTTTATTACTTGCCTGTATTTCTAGTTATGGTGAAGCGGACGTGGGTTAATGTCATGCATTGCATAGGTTAGGTAGTGATTCAGAAAAAAAAACACCGTAAAATTAGCTAAAATTAAATCAGTTGTGTAGGGATTTTCATTAGTACTCTATCAAAGTTCCCGTCTCACTTTTTATCTGCAGCTTTCTTCTTATTTGTCTTGCTCTTCTATCTAATTCTTTAGTTTTGTTCTTATTAATTCTGTGAAGCATTCCGCACATTTGTTGGCTTAGCCACGGCAGGTTGAGGTCGTTTTTGAAATATTTTTGCTATTTATTTCAGTTTCCCCAAGAAAATATCTAAGAGTGGATTATAATTTTAAGTATTTATAAAATGTATTCATTTTAATTTTTTGTTCTAAATTTTACCGACTCGCAGGCATGTGTACGGTTGGGTATTTCTCTCTAAAGTTTGTCTCTACTTTGAAGTGATGTTTTTTTAGGAATAGGATAAGGCGCGTTTTTTTTTCGGCCACTTATACAATACTAGGCAGGTAAATGTGGCATGTTTATTGTTGTTGATTCGATGTTATTTAAGTGACCTCATTTGTGATTATGTTATCAAGGTGTAAACGAGCCGTTTGTTCCACTAAGTTAATTATTATCGAGGTTATAAGATAGAGCGAACCACTCAACCTTGACTTGGATTAATACTTTTATTTGATTGAACAATTTAATGTTCGCTTGAATTTGTATGGGGGAGTTAGCTTAGCACGTAACTGCTGCAGTCAACTGGACCAGTTAAAGAATTTTCCTACTTCGATGTACAAGAACAGATTTGAATGTTTGTTCAACATTAAATCAACTCCTGTAGCCACCGTTCACAAGTGTTGCACTGTTCACAACTTTTCGACCTCTGCACACGGCATTTGCCCGTATTTTTTACGGCCTTTCATTAACTTTATTACTTAATTTTGAGACTGTATCTTTTAAATTATAAGATTTTTCATGTGTTTACCGATGTTGGGTCGTTCGACCGAATCAAAGTCCCGTTAGTAAATTATATGTGGACGAAAAACATAAATTAAGCTATTATCATTATGTTGGTATCATGTTGATACATATAATACTTATATATATTATGGTTTTGTCATGATTCAGTATAGCAAATAAATCGTATATTATTATTATGAAAGATGTCATCATACAAGTTTTACCGCTGACGGATTTTCTAGGCGCAAGAAGTTGTCAAAAGTATTAAGTCTTTTTCATCCTAAACGCTGATGGACCTTCATCGTCCCAGCGAGTTGTCCCTGATGATGAACAATTTTAAATTGTATTGCTTTATTTGCAATGAATTTTGTCGATGTTTTGCTCTCAATATTTTGGGAAACAATGGGGAAGTTTTTTTTTTAGTTTTTCCCCATGCCAATTGTCGGTATATCTGTAATTATTCTACTGGACAATTTCTTGCCGTTTCAGTGCTGGTTATTTTTATTTTTATTACTTTTTCTAAGAATTACATCTGGTGTGGAAACTTGAATTGTTTTCTATATCTTTCAGCTTGGTGCATTTTTGCAGTCATAGAAGGCCGAACAATTTTGCATCAACAATGTTGTAAGCAATAAAAGTTTTTGAGGCCGTTCTCGCGTTTCCGAATGTAAGATTATTCCGGATTTTGTACTTGTATTTTTGAGTTTGAAATTTTCTCTGAGGACTGTACGTGTATTTACGAATGTGAGATTTGCCCAGTCTGTCACCGTATTTGCATATGTGAGATTTGCCCAGAGTCTGTCACCGTATTTGCATAGGTGAGATTTACCCAGAGTCTGTTACTGTATTTGCATACCAAGTGAGATTTGCCCAGAGTCTGTCACCGTATTTGCATATGTGAGATTTACCAAGAGTTTGTCACCGTATTTGCGTAGGTGAGATTTGACCGTGTATTCAAATTTTGCCTCGAGTCATCTTCATGCACTCGTATTTAAATTTTTTTCCCCAAGCTGTGCTCGTATTTTCGACAGTAAGATTTTCTCGGAGTTTACATATATTTCATTAGAAAAATTGTCCTCGGGTTGTTCTGATTTATTGTAAATGTTGTATCGTTTCTCAACGGCTGTTCTGTGGTAATGATGCAAAAGTGTCGCATTTTTCTGGCACAAAGAAAAAATAACTGAGCACAAAATTTTTTTGTCATGCAAGATCTGATTTTCTTATGCACGCCTCAGGAATATGTGTCGTAATTCTGTTATATTTGTGTTGTGAATTATTTGTTTTACTATGCACTAATGTGCGTCACTTGTATTTCATGATTGTATTTCTTATCATTTTAAACGACTCTTAACACCATTCAAATATTTCATTCCATAATATACCATAACTACAATGACCGATCTTTATAGTTATATATTGATAACGTGAGCTAACTAACCGAATCTTATCTCCTCACGGAGTAGGAAACTTGGTTTGAAAATATTTCAATATTTTCAAATCCTGAAAATTTGAATATTTTCAAATCGCTTGGAAAATATTTGAATTCTTATTAATGACCATAAATGCTGCTTCTAGAAATTTTTCATCGAAGCTACAGATGCTGAGTAATTCAATAGATTTTCTTTATATCATTTTGGTTATGAATTTACTGCAATATTTACCGCAATGATGATAATCTCGCATCGCGGCGCAGGCATGTGCATCCGGCGTCCATTCATCAGCCGCGTTTGATGGCATTTGTTCTCTCTCTATTAGTGCGCTTCAATTATTTGCACAGACTAATTAAAAAACAAGTTTAAATATTTCTTTCTTTCGTGTAGATCCTCTTCAGTCCTCTACATGTACCTATAAACCTTGTTTCAAGGTTGATGTATTATGAATGTGTATAATATTGATTATGTGACCATGAATTTTTTAGTCATGTTAATACATCGGTTCTTGCGAACTGAATTGCATACTCGCAATTTTAAATGAAGTACATCCCTTTGTTTGTACCCAATGACCCCGACATATTGCTATACCTGTCTTCTTTTGAATTGCCTGTCCATGTAACTGTCTAATTTCAATTATTAATTTCTGAAACTTGTTTGCTGATTATTGTTATATAATCATAAATGTATTCCCATAGCTTGGCGGGTGTTAATTTCTTACATTTTGTTCATTACGTGAAAAGTTGGCGAACCTTCGTGATTAATATAAATGCGGTTCGCTGCCACGCATTTGATAAGCGGTTCTCTGCGACGCATTTGATACGCGGTTCACCGCCACGCATTTGATACGCGGTTCACTGCGACGCATTTGATACGCGGTTCACCGCCACGCATTTGATACGCGGTTCACTGCGACGCATTTGATACGCGGTTCACTGCCATGCATTTGATACGCGGTTCACTGCCACGCATTTGATACGCGGTTCACTGCCACGCATTTGATACGCGGTTCACTGCGACGCATTTGATACGCGGTTCACTGCCATGCATTTGATACGCGGTTCACTGCCACGCATTTGATACGCGGTTCACTGCCACGCATTTGATACGCGGTTCACTGCGACGCATTTGATACGCGGTTCACTGCCACGCATTTGATACGCGGTTCACTGCGACGCATTTGATACGCGGTTCACCGACATGTCTGTATTGCTGATCTCCTCTAACTGCATTACGTTGTATTACTAATATTTATAAACCAGATATTCCATTTGAAATATTTTACGCTGGTAGTGCGAAATACCGCAAATATTGTCCTTTTTTCTGATTTCTTATCTTAAAATGGACAAATTTTTCGAACTTTTTTTTGGCAATGGATGGTAAATGTGTTGCTTTATTCTGCATTGTTTATATGCAAGAATATATGCATTTTTTATTTTTTTTGTATTCCGTACTTACGTTCGTACGTCAGCATGCTGGGACTCCACCGCGATTACAACGAAGGATAGTGAGCAACATTAAAGTGTTTTGACCAAAGATGGTGATTCCCTTTTCAGTTAACCGAACATACGTGTTATATTTCATTGTAAATAAAATTAAGGTTATTCTCTAGCATTTGTCACACATCGTAACAGGTTTGTTTTCACCATACAAGTTTGTGTTGAATGTGTGACCATACAAGTTTGTGTTAAATGTGTGTCACTGAAGTTTTTGCTATGTAATCCTCTCCGTGTGTCTACGAACACTTTACGTTTTTACGCATGCGTGTGTGTTTATTTTTCAGTAACCTGATCTCGAACTAAAAAAATCGTTATGCCATTTATAA